TGTGTGTGTGTGTGTGTGTGTGTGTGTGTGTGTGTGTGTGTGTGTGTGTAAAACAAATGTTAGACAGTGCATCATTACTGCAGTATGATTGGCATCCAGGACTGACAGTTCTCCTTTTGGGGGTGAATGCACACGGGCAGCAACAAGGTACATAAATCAAAGGCAGAAAAGCAGAGGTGTATAGAAACCACTTTGTACCTCATGTGGACATTCACACTATTGTGTATACATTTGTGTTTTTGTGTAGTACTTATTGTTGCCTTTTCGTGTTCCCTTGGGAATCTCCTTCCTCATTATACATGGCCCTCCTGGGCCATGTATATATAGGAGTGTGTGTGTGTGCGTGTTGTCTAAAACACACAAGCAATACTGCAGAAACACATGTCAACAGCTGTGTGTATTGCCTATTTCTGCCTCACTCTCTTCCTCTTCCTCCTTTTAGTTTTTGTTTGTCTCTGTCAATCTTGTCCCCAGGCAGTTTACTGGAGAGATTTAGACAACAGCTCTGCTTTCTTCAGCCAAGTCTATGACCTGATGTGTGCGTGCGTGTGTGTGTGCGTGTGTGTGTGTACGTACATGTAAGAGTGAGCAAAAAAGATTTTGTGCCCAATTAGTAGCTGGAGTGAAGTGCAATGCTAAATTATTTAGTTACTGTCTACTTGATCCAATGCTACCAAATTTGGGGAGAGAGTAATGGAGACAGTAAGATGAAAAGTTAATCTACATATGTAATATGTGATGACAGAATGCTTGCCGCTGATCTCTGCCATGCTTCAACCCTGAATTAAATGTCCCTCTGCCAATACCAGAGATGCGTGCATATGATGGCTTCTAAAAACTGACAGTGAGAATTAGAAAGCATGATCGTGAACTAGGCTTGGGCAACTGGACGAATATATCGACTATCGACGATAGGCTGAGCCCATCGTCAATTGTTTTTACAGGGATGATTTATTTATTTATTTGCCCATGAGTAAGTTTGCTAATAACGATGGAGCTAATAGAAGCATCAACAGAAAAAAATAAATAAATAATAGCGCTGGTTTAACAGCATCCTCTTTCATCTGCGAGCAAATGCACCCTCCTCAGAGTGCGCCCAAATGCTTGTTGATGGAGCTGCAGAAGGTGGTGATAGCTGCATACTCAGCCGGATGGTGGACACGTACATGCTCATGCAAGTTAGTCGTGTTTGAGTACTTGTGCACTATACGTCTGCACAAGCGGCACACCTCTTTGCCTCTTTCATCTGGTTTAAAGGCAAAGAAATCTCACATTGGCAACTTTATATTTTTTTTAGTGCTGTCATCGTCAATGCGCCGTCATCACGACTAACGCGATTAACAATTAACCCATCTGGAGTCGAAATCCCTGAAATGGCAGTTTGTCCAAAGTTTGTTCATTCTGCACTCCAGATGGGTTGAGCGCGTAAAAAATTTAAATTGCGTTAATTGTGATGACCACGTTAACGTCGCATTACCGCTGACAGCCCTAATTTTGGGGGGGAAATTAGTTTGTACCCTATTAATATTTATAGGCCAGTAGTCAAACCTGTTTTTATTTAAGTCTTCTACCACCACTGAGTCACCCTTGGACTTTCAGTCAGAGTATACATGTTTCACATGAGGAGAAAAGGCTGGAAGAAACATTGCCGTTTTTTAAGATAAAATGTAAGGAAGCAGGATCATACATACTACAGTCTTATTTCCCTGAATTGTTACTTAACTATGATTGCATTGTTCTTCTTTTTCCTATAAAATCCTAATGGGATGTATTATTTCCACCTCTTTCTTTTTCTGGGTGTTCAGAACCTGCTGTCAGAGAAAGTTGACCAGATGATGGAGTGGTCTTCTCGGCGTTCAGTTATCCGGATGAATGGGGACAAGTTCCGTCGTTTTGTCAAGGCCCCACCCAGAAACTACTCTGTCATCGTCATGTTCACTGCCCTACAGCCTCAAAGGCAATGTTCTGTCTGCAGGTATATACACGTACACGCGCAGTACACCTACTGTAGGACACAATGTGCCATAGCTCTTACTGTAACAGCTATTCCTTTGTCCTTCCCGCTATTGCCCAAGATGTCATGCCCTCCTGTGAGTTTTCTGAGTGGGCTACAGTGAAAAAGTCCTTTAAACTCATGTTCTTTTCTTCTGTACTACCAAAAGGAAATGAATACTGTCCATAGAACAAGTCCCATAGCCACTTATATACTAGAAGCATTAAATGCACAGGGAGATTTAAAAGAAAATAACAACAACAACAACAGACAAAACTCCAACTGCAATCTTAAATTGTAATTACTACTTAAAAAAAATCCAACCTGTATCACATTTGCAGCAGAATGAGGTACAACACAGCAAGGTCAAGTACCTGTATAACAAATTAGATTACTCTCTCTAAGATTACTGTCTCTCTAATCTAATCTGAGGTTCTTCAACAGTTTTTTTTTTTTCCTTGTCTTGTCCGTGATGGTGGAGAAGTTGGAATGGAAGAAATTGATTCTGTGGAAAGCTATGTTTTATACGCATAATGAGTAGGGATGGGTATCGTTTAGGTTTTATACGATACCATTACCAAACCGGTACTTTTGAAACGGTGCCGGTGCTTAAAGAATGGAGAACACACACTTTGTCCAAAAACCTCTTATGTTTAGCTGTTTTTTTTGTTTTTGTTTTTTTGTAAAAAGATAACAATGTTAGCCTTTTCTGCAGCTATAGGGCATATATGGTATCACTCTTGGCTGGAAGCAGTGCTTAATCAATGGAAAAAACACCAGTTTTGTCTAAAAACCTTGATTAAGAATTCTGGTTGGGTTGGATCAAATACTTATTTCACTCAATAACAAAAAAAATATTTATTTATAACTTTTATGTCATATATTTTGCTTTTTTGTTTTGTTTTGGGGGGCAGGTAGATATTATCTCTCTCCATTCGAATGAAACTACCATTAAAATTAGACACTGTTCATTTCTTTGCAAGTGAGAAAAATTAAAATTCAGCAGTGGCTGAAATAATTATTTCTCTCATTCTATTTTTAATGAAAATTTGTTCTTATGTGAATCTACAACTTTAACGCCCTGACAAGTGTTAAATTGTATTTCAGCACCATGGACAGTTCTTATCATGGCACTGGAGTTCATAATTGAGACAGCTCTAGAGCTGTCCATGGTTATGAAAGCTTCTTGTCAGAGAACCCAAAATGTGGTGTTACGTGTGATACTGCAGTCTGCTGCATATTACTTAATTATTTCTTGCTTGTCTGATGGTTGGTTGTGATGATGGTTTTTGATGGTATTTTTGTTTTTTCAGTCATACTAAGTTATATTAGTTATATAAGCTTAATCTGAAAATGTAGTAAAAATTACATACAAATTTAGTCTGTAACTGCTTCATTTTGTATGGTAAACCTAGCCAGCTCCTCTTTGCTATGTAGTAAAAACCAGGTAGCTGACCATATCGTTGTGTCCAAAGGGGCATCCAGCCAGCTGATGAAATCATCACTGACCTTCTCTATCTTGACCTGGCTGGTTTCTTTAATCAGCCACTCTTCTACGTCATCAGTCACTTGATTAGATAAGTTATTCATCAGCCATGTCAGTACCACACAGCAGGCAGACAGAGTGAATGGACTCAGTGTATGAAAGTAACGCAACACAAAAAATTATTGTTTCTGTTTTTGGCGTTCGTATAAAATTATCTTTGCTGAAATTGCATGACAGTAACTCAATAAATCATTGCCAAACCAGATTCTGCAATTTACAGTTTCATACACACCATAAATACAAAGTCCTTTCATTCAAAATATCTAAATTCTAAATGTTTGTTTGTATGTGTTTTTAATCTAACAACAAACTAGGGAACTTATATAATACGTACTATATAAAACTATATAAACTACTATATAAAACTTATACTGTATAATTAACAGATGTATACATTAATGTCACTCCTTTTGTCTTTTGTCTTCACTTTCTCTGTCTTTCCTTGTTCCAAGCATTCTCTTATTAACATTAGTGTGACATCATTAGAAAAAGAGAGCAAGGAGAGAGTGTAAGATGGATGTTAGATGGTGACCTGAGTGTCTGCTTTAAGAGGACTATCGGGCAGTGAAAACGATGGCTAATCACTGGAGTCCTCACTCCCACATCACTCTTAAGCTCTGTCCCAGTTTCATACTACATACTAATTTTAACTAGGCTCTTTAAGTTTTGGAATTTAAGTACACAAAAGAATGATTGTTTTTGAGCATAGCACTGATGGAAAATGTTTTTGCACATGCTTGTGTTTATTGTGAATGTAATACTGTTGCATTTTACAATAGTAAATTAATATATATCTCTTCTGTCTGTCCTGTTTATTTTGTAGGCAGGCAAATGAGGAGTACCAGGTCCTGGCAAACTCATGGCGGTACTCATCTGCTTTCTCCAACAAGCTATTCTTCACGGTAGTGGACTATGATGAGGGAGCTGATGTTTTCCAGCAGGTAACCATTTTCAACTGGTTCGCTTAAACCCACTGCAGTCTTTAGGTTGTCATACTCACTACCTAAAGTTGCACTAAAAACAATGATAATTTGATGTGTGTTCATGCATCTGTTGGATTGAGGATAGAACTAGATTGTTTGTTAGTACTTGTTATTCCTCCACTGGTTCCTTCTTTGTTTTTGTTTTACCAGATATTTAAAACTCAGAAAAGAGGCGTCAAAAAAATAGCTGTCATTTTTGTTTTTTGGGGGTTTTTTTTGTTTTGTAATTATAAGATACTCTTAGAACTTTCAATAGATGCATATTGATATAAAGCCTGTTTTTAGTTCTTTTCTTTCTTTTATCATGATTTAGATTAACAATAATCCAGAAAAAAACATTTTAAGTGCTAAGATTTTTTTTGCTTTTACTACTTTTGTTTTTGTTCTTTTCTGCTTACTATTTCTGTATATTTTTCCTTCTCTTACATTGTTTTAATGGTTGCTTCTTGTCCTCTGTCTTGTATTTTGTTGTTTAGTATTGAGTTTTAGCATGGTGCAGGGTCCTGACCTGATTTTTGGACTTTCCTTAACCCTTTAAAGCCGGTCGGAGCGGGTACGCTCTGTTTTGCGTAACTATTTTTAAATCCCGGTAGCTCTGCAACCACGTGAGTTAGCGCAATAATTTTTTTTGCATATGAAACCGGAGGAGTTGTACTTACATCTTATGCCATCAGCTTGTCCTAGGTCACAGTTTCCTTCCACATATAGCTTTGCAAAAACTGCATAAAAAGCACTTGCAGCAACAAAAACATAATATTCCAGAAACACGCTTTGCCGATCCGATCAGCTGTTCATCACACTTCCTACGTTGGAATAGATGTCAGCACGAACTTTTGCATGTCCGCCATTACCTGCCCGAAACCGGAAGTGACGTCATTTTCGCGGAAATGTAGTTTTTGTTTTTGTTTTTTTTTTTAACCATCAGGGCCTCAGGGCCTATACTGGTGTTTTTAAAAGTTGTCTTTGACTTTATGACTTTCTGTGCCGTTTCTGGGATGCTTAGGACTCATATTGCACTGCTGGAAATAGCTTATTTTGATGCATATGCTGCTTTTTTGCAAATTTGCAGTATAATATTTATTTTCGTTTTTCCTGCAGTATATAAAAATTGGTGTATTTCAAAAATAAAACTATGAAGACCCTCAAAATAAATTTCCTGTGGTGGGAAACTAGTTTGTGCAACTTTTTTGTATTAACAGTTTTGAGGGATAAGCCTCTTAAATTTCTCTAACTAGAAATATATGTTAAAAAAGCCAAAACGATTTTCAATTTTTTTGTAGTTTATTGCACTTTTTTGCAATTTATGTAATTACTATGCACTTAATGAATAATAAATTATTAAAATCTGGGCTATAAGTGTTGTATTGATGTATAGCAACTTGAAATGCTCCCAAAAATGGCACCACACCATGTAAAAATATAATATTAGCTCTGGCGGACTTGGTTCTATGGTAGGTCTTAAAGGGTTAAAGTCCTTGAAGTTACATAGCATAACTGTAAAGATAGTCAAATTTGTTTGATCATTTTGGCAGTTGAAAGGTTTCACATAATAAAACATAACTAACTTTTTCCTTGACAGTTCTCATAAATTTTAACAACAGTCTCAAATGTCTTGGGTGCAAAGTCTAGACAGGATTTGAAACTTCAACAAAAAGTTGAAGTTTAAATGCAGTATTTACCTGACAGTAGCACTTTAGAATTTGGCTCCTGTGAAATGGTACTGATACAAAAGCAGAGTGAGTGCAGCTTTGCTCTCTGATGCTCTCTGGCAGTAAGGATATCTTCACTTAAAATTTTGGCTAATGTTTTGTTGTTTGTGTCACCTTAATGATGACTCATTCATGAAACTGTTTGTGCTGGAAATACTACTGTGTCCACATTTAAATGACAACATATGCATTTTTATTTGCCGAACTTCATAACAAAATTTAAAGCTGAGGAAGTGAAAAATGCTACATCATCCCACATGATAGAAGTATTTGGAGGAAATGCCAGCAATGAAAACAAATTCAAGCCTATGCCACCAGTCTGCTAATATGTTATGATTTTAGGATAATATTTTGCCCTTGTGTATTTAATGATTCATTAACTTAATATCTTCTTCATTGTGTGTTCTCTTTCTCATAGTTGAACATGAACAGCGCCCCAACCTTTATGCATTTCCCAGCAAAGGGAAAGCCAAAAAGGGCTGATACATTTGATCTGCAAAGGATTGGCTTTGCCTCAGAACAGCTTGCCAAGTGGATTGCGGACCGCACAGATGTTCAGGTACTTTATAATCAAAACATTTATTCAGTTTTGTGCAGTTGCAGAAACATTCATGTGTTTGTGAGAAATGATGAAGAAACCTGTGTAGATACACCCACAATAGTTTTTGTAGATATGGTTAGAACTGTTGAAATCCCGTGTATTGCAGTTTATTGACCTTTTCGATAAATGGACTGGTATTTATATACTCAAAACACTTTCTGCTATAAGTCTCATTCACTCATAAATTCATACAACACTTTTCTATGTGACTAAGTGTTTTGTCTTCAGTGGATGCATCCCCGACAATGCTTTCCTTCAAATTGGCTATTACTGTGTAATGCTGAGGTGTTTTTGACCCAGGTTGTTTTTTTCTCTCTCTCTCTTTGGTTTTCAATTCAACCTTCAGTTTTCAATTCCAGCAGAAAATATGCTTGTAACCTGCTTGCACAAGTTACTTATAATTTTTCCTTGGCAGTTTCCTTGACTAGCAGATGGATATTCTAGAAGCCTACAGTAATGTGCAAAAGTCTTCAATCTCATTTCATTTCTTTATATTTTGTTAGGAAAATGGGGAATAAGAGTTTGATTGTAACATATGCAAACATAGATAGAGGTGAACTATGTAAGGAAAAAATTGCATATGCAGTTCTAATGAGCTTGAAAGTCATTATTTTGTATGACTATCTCTATTCTTAAACACAACCTGGACTCTTAGGAAAGCTTCTTTGTAATTTCTTAAAGGACTCTTTATAAATACTTCCAGCCTTCTCCATTTATAAATACTACTTTATAAATACGTCCAGACTTCTTAAAGGACATTCGAAGGCACTTTTTTGGTTGTTGGCTTCTTTTTGTTCCATTCTCCGTCATGGTGATGATTTTCTTTAACTGCCAATAAAATAAAATTTGTTGGCAGTATGTTTGGCTCATTGTCATGCTGAAAAATAAGGCAGTTGCTATAACATAGCAAAAATATAGTTGATACTTTTCCAGATGCATCTACACGGTGGATCAAACTCTAATGGTTCTTTTCCGTGTTCGTAATTAAATCGATTTTGACAAGGTCACCATCACAACTGAGTGAAATTCAGTTTGATGCAAACCATGACAGATTATCCACAGTGTTTTGTCTATAGTGACTGTAGACACTCACTTTTGTACCTCTGGCCCGATGATCTCCTCTACACATGTTGATGACAATGAACCAATACTTTCATATTTGGAGTCATCGCTCCATAAGGCCTTGGCCTATTGTCAATATTTTTTTTCAATTTATTTCTTGTGTAATTTGACATACCTCAGTCTCCCTTTTCCCCTTCCTTACTTAAGAAAGGCTTCTTGTTGGCCACCTTTCGATTCAGGTTATTTCCTGTTTAGCAAACTTCAAAGGTCAGATGCATTTCTTAAGTCCTGTGTCTTTGCTGTTTGCATTCCCTCTCCTTGTAAGGGCAGGAATTTCCGATTCTGCTCATCAGCTGTTGGGTTTTTTTGTTTGTTTTGCTTTGTTTTTTATGTTTTAAGCACATACTGCACACCATGCTGAGATATGCCAAGCTTATAGTTAATAGCTTTGGGAATCACCTTTTTGTTGCAAAAATTGTATGCCTGCCATACTTTAACTTTTACGTTTTTCTTAGATTCAACTAAATAAATGGAAACAAATTATGTATTTTTGTGACGACTGCTAGTAACAAAGCTGTTTATGTGTAGACACGAGACTAGTTCATCCCTTGACCTAGCTACATTTTTTTTTGCTTTAATAATTCATACATCAGTGTCCTTTGACTTTGACATTTTGTGTCATGTGTGCACTGTATTCTGGAAATGAAAGTTGAATGGATGGAATACAACAATAAGTTATTCTGGCTTTTTCCTTCAACCTTTCATCAAGATTCTAGTGTGGGTGTAGTAGAACCATGTTAAAATAAACAGGAAAAAAATGTTTTTTCCTCTTTATACATACATACATAGTCAAGCATTTGCAGCCTGGTACATGGCAAATTTGTAGGGCAAACTTTTAATAGCTGTAGAGTGTCAACACATTCTCATTTGCAATATAATAATTTCAAGCCAGTTCAGTTGTATTTATATAACACCAAACCACAACACCAATCACCTCAAATAAAATTGTCACCAGTTACACATTTATCTTTTAGAACATCTTGATCTGTTGGAATAACAATGTTTGGTATTATAGTCGCACTGAAATATCCTCAAGAAGAAAGACACTGAAAATAGAAGAAAAAAAACATATTGCAGAGAATTTCATAGACTAATTTTATTGGCCTTGACACTGTTGATCACATCCTCAAATATTACTGAGTTTAATGGAACAGAGTATGTACCCCAGTATAATGTCACAAGTTATTATTAGTATTATTTTATATAATTAATAATGTAGTTTTAATTCACAAAGTAGTGTGTGATTATGTGGAGGAAGAGTATTCTGTCAGAAACAGATTCATGGTCTTTGTTCTAGATGGAGTAATTGTGCTTGCTGTGTTGTGGCTCTCTTAAATTTCTTTTTATGTCTCTGTCACAGAAATTAACTGCAAGGAGTTTTTAATTTATATGTAAAATTCATATTTTAGTACTGGAAGTAAATTATTTGAAATTATGGAATTATTTGACAGTTTCAAGGACCCTTTTCTGCTCACATTAGTATTAGTTCAGAAAATGATTTGACATTTTAAATCAGCTTTATATTTGCTTCTCCTTCAATAAAAAACCCTCAAAAATTTCAAATATGAAAAACACTGAATACATAATGTTACTTTCATCCACTCACTGAGTTTTATCTTGAATGTGTAAGAAATCATAGGAAATTTTTGCTTTACATCAGATATAGAATATAATTATACATACAGACTACTACAAAATTAAAGTCATATAGCAACTGCAACATGTTACCATGTTATTCACTTTCATCTCACTTTCTTTCTGGCTTTTCAGATTCGGGTCTTCCGTCCTCCTAATTATTCAGGAACTATTGCTTTGGCGCTCTTAGTATCTCTAGTTGGAGGATTGCTGTATTTGAGGAGGAACAACTTGGAATTCATATACAACAAGACTGGATGGGCCATGGCTGCACTGGTATGATACATATACACCAACATTAGGTTGGAGTGAAATATTTGTCTTTCCATATTTATCTACTTTTACATGTCAGGGACGTTGTGTGAAATGAGATTAGGGGTGTAGTTTTCTCCCCATTTTAACAAAAATATGATGTCATGTTTTATGTAATGGAAAAGTTACTTATCTATGCTTGACTCTCTCATCTGTTATTTTATCTCTCTCTAGTGTGTGGTGTTTGCAATGACATCTGGTCAGATGTGGAATCACATCAGAGGTCCTCCTTATGCCCACAAAAATCCACAGAATGGACAAGTGGTATGAGTTACATTTCTTTCTTCCCTCCCAGTGCATATAAATGTATATATATGATTTAATTTTAGTTGTTTTGTTTCTATTTGGCTTTGTACTGTCTTCTGTCCTTTAATTGATCAAACTTAGCTATGTTTTTGGTAAAAGCTGTATTTTAAGGTATAAGTTTAATCTTTTTTTACCAGGTTGTAAGTGAAAATATATTAGATCAGTGATAAAAACATCTGTAAGGTTATTGGCCTCAAGTAAAATAGACTCTGTGCCATTACCACCTGCTAACGGGTCAGACATGGGACAGTGTGTGTGTGCGTATGTGTGTGTGTGCGTATGTTACTGGACAGCTGGGAAGAGTCATTTTGTGTTAATATCACCCTAGAGGCATCTCAGAGTCATCTTGGGCCAAGCAGAGTGGGAAAGAGAGAGGTGTTGGCCAAAAGACTTTTTCTTTAATTCTTTCTTGCTTGTTTTCTCTCAATGGTAAATGGCCTGTATTTGTATAGCGCTTCACTAGTCCCTAAGGACCTCAAAGCACTTTACATGTTCAGTCATCCACCCATTCACGCACACATTCACACACTGGTGATGGTAAGCTACATTGTAGCTACAGCCACCCTGGGGCGCACTGACAGAAGGCGAGAACAGCTTGCCAAGTGGCTGCCGGACACTGGCGCCACCGGGCCCTCTGACCACCACCAGTAGGCAACGGGTGAAGTGTCTTGCCCAAGGACACAAAGACAGAGACTGTGTGAGCCGGGGCTCGAACCGGCAACCTTTCGATTAAACACAAACTGCCAAGTCGCCACGATAGCCCCCATTTTTTCTTCGCTTTCTTCCTTTCATGTTGTCTTCCTTTCAGGTCTTTTTGTTTAACCCAGCTATCAATCGGAATTAGAGTAATCTATATTTGACAAAGTTTGTGCACATAAACAAGGAATTTGACTCAACCATCCTTTCTTTCATATAGTTGCTGTGTTTTAGAGAATTGCCACTTATTATCAATATGTGTGCAAATACTTACTCACACAGTATTTCCAGATATAGCTTTGCAGGTCATCATTTAGGTTTCTCCACTGAAGTGTGAAATTAAAATAAAAATATGGAAGGAAAATGGAAAAAAACTATGAACTTGGAGGAGAGTAGGATCAGAACAATGAAAGTGAAATGGCCATATAGAAGAAAGGGAGGAATCTGAGAAATTATGTTTGTGTCTGCAAGCTGAGTGCGTGCGTGTATGAGGTGCTGTAAGGGACATTATTACTGAAACGCTCTCACACACACTACTGAAATTTTATCTCTCATACACACTATTGAAATTTTATCTCTCATATACACTACTGAAACGCTCTCACACTGAAACCCTCTCACACACTCCACTGAAAACCAAGGCATTTCAGTTGAACAGGAAGTTGTTTCCTGACAAGGAAACTGAAGCAAAAAGTGGTAGATTTCAAACAAACCACTACACAGATGTCTACTCAGCAACCTGCTAGGTAGCCTAAGTGAAGCAGCTGCATTACTTAACAATATATTAGCTTCAGCATAAGTCAAAATTTAGAATAGCAGGAGACCGGCAATATCCTGGTTAATTTTCTTTGGCATATTTGCTTTTTGTCTTTTTTAGCGAAGAAGAAAATATCTTAAAATCATTAATAAAACCAGGGAGAGAAGGCTTAGTGTTCCTCCATATAGCACAATGGATATGATATTTACTCAAAAGTATGATGATGTTAAGAATGTCTGAGACACCCAATGCTAGATGATCCATATAAAAAAAATTATATGATGTAATTCAAATGGTGGCACATCATTAATTTTTAGGGAAATCCATTTTTAAGTCACACCAAAAGCATTGTGTGATAGGGCATAGAAAAAAAAGATGTTCTAGGGTTTCATTTTCATCAGTGCAAAAAGAACACTGATCCACCTCAAAGCTAAATCTCTTTTTTAGAAATTCTGTCACAGGATTAATTTTGTTTATGACTTTAAAGTGTGTTTCGGTAGAATAGGCCATTTCATACATTTTGAGTTTGCTTTATCGAGTGTATCTGAAATAACTAAATCAGAACCACGCCATGTAACCATTCTGTCATAGCTATGAAATATTTTGTATTTGAAGAAACTACTAATACATTTATTATTTCATTTTTTTCCAAACAGCTGACATTGTCCTAGCAATAAATTAGGAAGCACTGATGAGAAGATATTGTATATCATAAAGTTTTTAATCAAATGAAGCAGAGGCAGTGGGATCAGTTTACAAAATTAGTTATATTCTCTTTGAGAACAGTTTAGACAATATTTTTCTGAAAAGTCTGTGTAACTTAGAATGACACCGTTCTCATGCAACAAATCTGTTATGAATATAATCTTCTTGTTAAACCAGTCGCTCTTGAAAATTGATTTTCGATTACATTTTATTACCCTATTATTCCATAAGGTTGAATTATGAGGAGAGAAGTTGTGGGTAAATATCGTTTTACTCGTGCAATATCATTGCAAAGTCTGTTCGGGAAAGTTCGATATCTTGATCGGGATTTTATTTACCTCAAAATCACATTTCAAATAAAGTCTAATCCTCCTATTTTATTAAACAAGGGTTGTGGGATGTGGAAACACAGAGTTACTCTGTGACAGACAAGATTTTAACCATTTAATTCTGAGGGTGCCAACCATAGATTCAAATTCTGGAGCTTTGATGCCACCTTTATTGTATTCCTTAACAAGCTGAGATCTTTCAATGTAATAGGTTTTATTCCTCCACAAAAATTGGAAAATAACTGTGTTAGCCTTATTAATGTTTTTAGAGGTGATATATAGAGAGTGACAAGGATAAATCAATTTGGAGATGCCTTCAGCTTTAGATACGATGTTTCTGCCAAAAATAGTGAGGTCTCTGGTTAACCAGTGGCTAAGTGATTTCTTCATCTCCATGATACGGTTACAAATATTACAATCTCTTCTAATTAGGCTTTTAGATATTATCAGCCCTAAATATTTAACTTTAGATTAAACTCTAACCGAAGCTATTGAGAAGTCAGAGCTTGTATGAATCGGGAGTAGTTCACATTTTTTGGTATTAAGAGATAAACCAGAAGCTTTAGAGAAAATTGAGTTTTCTCTACCACTGATTTATCTTTCAAAAAAAATAGATGTACCATCTGCGAATTGACTTATTTTGAAGTTTTTATTAAAAATTGATACTCCTTGTATGTTGTTAGAATTCTTTTTCCATAGTGCTGAGTTTTTGTATATTGGCAACAGTTGAGGTGCCAATATAAAAAGCTTAGGGGAAATAGGACATCCTTCCGAATTCCGCGTTTCACGTTCAAGGAAGCTAATATATTGTTAAGTAATGCGGTTGCTTCACTTAGGCTACTAGCACAGCGATCCCCAACCCCTGGGCCCTGGACTAGTACCGCTCTGTGAGTCATTTGGTACCGCAACTGTTGAGGCTTGGGTTTGAAATTTATGGTTTTCAGGGTGTTTATCGCTTTTTTATTGTTATTTTTATATCTTTTCCCTGGGTCTTTTCCCATGTGTTATGATTAAATATTCTTTTTTTGGGGGGGTACCGGTACACGTTTTATTTTATTGTATTTATCCGCGACACCTTAAAGGCCGGTCCGTGAAAATATTGTTGGCCTTAAATGGTCTGTGGCGCAAAAAAAGGGTGGGGACCGCTGTACTAGCAGGTTGCTTGTAGTGGTTTGAAATGTACCACTTTTTCCGTCAGTTTCCTTGTCAGGAAACAACTTCCTGTTCAGCTGAAATGCCTTGGGTTTCAGTGGAGTGTGTGATGCATTTCAGTAGTGTGTTTGAGAGATAAAATTTCAGTAGTGTGTGTGAGAGCATTTCAGTAATAATGTCCCTTACGGCACCTCATATAAGTGTCTCATTTCCATGATATGTGTTTAAAATGGGATGTATCCCTTAATTGGATTTTTCTGCTGAAAACAGGGCTTTCACTCACTTTAGCTTAGTGTCAGGGTGCGTAAACAGTTGGGTGCAGAGACGTATACGATGCTTAGTGTCTACTGGTCTAAACAAATATTCAGACTGAATCAGAAATACTTTATTAATCCCAAAATGTCAACTTATGACACTATGTTGCCAGACAGAGTTCAAAATACTTCATATTCACTCAGAACGTGTAAAGACACAACAGACTGACTAATTCTAACCTAACAATGATGCCCTCTGCAAGCCAAAAGTCAACCATTTGCAGATAGCCAATAAAAGTTAAAGCAGTGCTTCACTAAAACATGAAAGGTTAGCAGGGATGACAACGACTGTCAAAAACCATCAACCAAACATGTAAAAATCAGCTGGAAATATGGAAATGTCATCAGCCAATAAAGGTGAAAAAAGGAGTTGGTCAAAGTCAAACACATAAGAAAAACACTGACAAAAAAAGTACTTTAAACAACTCAAACCCACAGGAAGAAAATGTTCGCGAGGAATCGCTCATTCTTCTTTAACTTTAAGTTAAAAAAAAATATATTTAAAAGACATAATTCTATACTTAGCTTGCCTTTTTTGACAGTTTGCCATATCACAGCATGTGTGTAAGTGTTTGGTATGTGCATGCTTCTTGTAATTCATGAGTACATGGATTTTGGGTATAGTCTATGTATGAACCTCTGTGCATAGGTTTGTTAAAGCAAAACTATGTTTCTGTCACATTTTGAGGCAGCAGTTTTTTTTCTTTTTTTTTTTTTTTTTTTTTTGGCTCCATAGTGAGACTCACTACAATTTCATCTGCTTCACTGTACCATTCGTCAGTTGACAAATCCTTTCAATATAGTGTACCTAGTCTTGCTCGCTCATCATTTTGAAGGAATTACACGGTCTGGTGAATGTGGGAGATTAGAAAAAGAGGTGAGAAAAGGTAACATGAAAAGGGGTGGGAAGAAACAGAAAGGATAAGATGATACTGATCCTTTCTGAATCATCTTCTCATTCACTGCCATTTACCATCAGGGGATGGAGAGAACAAGAGAGGAAGG